TCTCAATCCCCGCATCTGGGGTGGGGCGGCCGCCCGGGGCCCCAAGATGGGAAGCTAAACTTCGTTAAATGGGCTCCGTAATTGAAGAACTTAAGTCAAAGTGTCAAGCCCATTAAAATTTTCAACTCTTCACTGTAATCTAGTACTCCGTAATATTGGAAATAATAAATTATCATTTCCCAAAAAAATTACTCCAAAAATTTATATTACTCCCTTAATTCGCTTCAATTCCTTAATAACCACATCAAAAATTTCAATTTCCTAATTTAAAATCAAATACATCATGAAGAGAGAACAATTGGGAAAACTTTCCATCCAAAAGCTTTAAGGAATTCATCATACCTCTTGAAGGTTTAGTTTATTTGTTTCTACTTTAATTTTTAGGGGTTTATATGAAATATTGGCGTAGTTATCCATGTTTTTGATGTAATTGTTAGTAGAATTTTTTGTGTGACAGTTTTTGCCCAGAAAATTGATGGGTTTTGTGTTTGAAAGATAAACAATTTTTTATGTGCAGGTTGAATGGTTTAATGTTTATGCCCAGAATATTGTTGGGTTTTGATGTTAATAAACAATTGTATACAATATACAGTATGGTGAAAGCAGAGCAGATGGTGTTAGATAAAAAAAAAAGGTGATATTTTTTTTAAACTTAAAACTTAATAAAAAAAAATAACAAAAAAAAAGGATATTTAATTTTTTGAGAATTACTCGTATGATGTTAATAAGCATACCCTAAAATTCATTTTATCATTTATTTGCATACCCTTATAATTCAAAATTTTATATTAACATCACTCCTAAATTACGGCCCCAAATTGATAGTTCGCCCTTAGGCCACAAAAAATCTCAGATACGGGGCTGACTAGTTGTTTGTATGCCTTGTCCTTGGGTGCACATGTCTTGTGCACATGCCACATGCCCCCTTGCACCATCCCACACCCTAACACTTTGACTTTGTCACTTGTCTCAATCCATTACTTATCATTTTTTAGCATATAAGAAGCAATCTAACCTCATTTTCCAAAATATAGGTGTTTTTATGGAATAAGGTAAGGAGAGGGACGAATCGAAGCGACATAGGGCTGAATCTCTGTGGGTCGTGGCAAAAAAATCACGCTGCCACTTACAATAGCCCGTCGCATATTTAAGTCGTCTGCAAAGGATTCAACCTGCCGCTCTCAAGGCGGCTCTCAGGCCAATCCACCACGCGAGCTTAGCCAACGACACGTGTCCTTGGGGGCCGAAGCCCCTATTATCATACGGCAATCGGGCGGCGGGCGCATGCGCCGCTTCTTGCCCGGATTCTAACTTAGAGGTGTTCAGTCATAATCCAGCACACGGTAGCTTCGCGCCACTAGCTTTTCAACCTAGCGCGATGACCAATTGTGTGAATCAACGGTTCCTCTCGTACTTGGTTGAATTACCATTGCGACACTGTCATCAGTAGGATAAAACTAATCTGTCTCATGACGGTCTAAACCCAGCTAATGTTCCCTATTGGTGGGTGAACACTCCAACACTTGGTAAACCCAGCAACGTCACTATGAACGCTTGGCTGCCACAAGCCAGCTATCCCAGTGGTAACTTTTCTGACACCTCTGGCTTTAAATTCAAAAGGTCTAAAGGATCGTTAGGCCACGATTTCACGGTTCGTATTCGTACTGAAAATCATAATCAAACGAGCTTTTACCCTTCTATTCCACACGAGATTTCTGTTCTCATTAAGCTCATCTTAGGACACCTGCGTTATCTTTAAATAGATGTGCCGCCCCAGCCACACTCCTCCGCCCGGATCGGGCCGCAAAGCGGACCTTAGGTATAAAAGGAGGGACATTGGCCCGCTTTCGACTCACGAAGTAAGTAAAATAATGTTAAAAGTAGTGGTATTTCACTTGCGCCGAATCTCCCACTTATCCTACACCTCTCAAGTCATTTCACAAAGTCGGACTAAAGCCAAGCTCAAAAGGGTCTTCTTTCCCCGCTGATTCTTGGTTGTGGTTTCGCTAGATAGTAGACAGAGACAGTGGGAATCTCGTTAATTCATTCATGCGCGTCAATAATTAGACGACGAGGCATTTGGCTACCTTAAGAGAGTCATAGTTACTCCCGCCGTTTACCCGCGCTTGGTTGAATTTCTTCATTTTGACATTTAGAGCACTGGCAGAAATCACATTGCGTTAACATCCGCAGGGACCATCGCAATGCCTTGTTTTAATTAAACAGTCGGATTCCCCTTGTCCGTACTAGTTCTGATTTGGATGTTCGACTCCCGGGAAGGCCCCTGAAGAGACTGTTCCCAGTCCGTCCCCCGGCCGGCACGCGGTGATTCGCTCTCGCCACGGAAGCAGCTCGAGTAGTCCGCCGACAGCCGACAAATTCGTGACTGGGACACCCATGCCCAACCCTCAAAGCCAATCCTTTGCCCGAAGTTACGGATCCATTTTGCCGACTTCCCTTGCCATTGTTCCATCAACCAGAGGTTGTTCACCTTGGAGACCTGATGCGGTTATGAGTACGATCGGGAGTGGTCGGCACTCGGTACACACAATATAAGTTTATGATTGAACTATTAAGTTTTCATATTTTCTTACTAATAACCTACTAATACTCATATTTAACTTAAATAATTTGTATATAACATGTATATATTAATGTCATACAAAATTATAAAAATATATGTCTATAAAAAAATGTTTAGGTTATATACATAAATTGTTAGTTAATGAATTAATATTTGTGTTTTTGTGTTGTATATTCAATCAATTATTGATTGTAAGACTATAATGTGATTGTTTTTGGCACTACGCTTGGGAATATATATTGGCTGGTAAGATATAAGATTACTATTGTGTCTATAATTTTAGTGAAAACAACAACAGATAGGAATGCAAATGACATAAATAACAATAAAAAAAAATAATAATAATAAAAAAAATAAAAAATAAAAACATACATAAAATAAAAGAAATGCAAATGACATAAAATACTATTCGAATCATATTCTTTAGTTTTTTATGGAAAATTATTAATTTATTGTGAGCTAATAATAGCTTCTTACAGAGTATTAATTTGTGAACAGATACAAGTTTATCTGCTCAATAAATAAATTTTTGTTAATTTAGTGGTATTTCTGTAAAAATATTATAAAAGTATGGTCATTTATTCAGTACTTTTGTAATCCATCCAAATATTGTTTACAACTTGCACTTACACTTGATAAAACGATTATACCCCCTGAATTTGTTTATTAGGAGAATTAACTAGACACGGCTCTTTGATTTGTTTATGTAAATAAGTCTATTAATTACGGAGTACTTTTTTTTACAAGCTCATTATTAATAATTGTATTACCCTTTTTTTAAGGATATTTTCACGAGATTCATAATTTTAAATTGGCAAAGACACAGCATTGTCATTACATTAGCATAAGGATGTAAAGGCCTTGAATGTGATTCTAAGTGAGGCCCATAGGCCAGATTAAAGCCCATAAACAAAACAGAATAACATACAAGTACCATTCAATTTAAATTATATAACCATCAAAATATAGCAAATAGGCAATATAATTTCAGTACAAAATCATTTTATACTAAGTGTATGATAAGACCAATTATTTTGTTGCTCATTCGCGATAAATTTCATTTAATTACCCCTCTCTCATTTGGGGAGCTCCAAAATAACCTAAGAATGAGGTTGTACCATTTACAAAGTACAACCAGGTGTACAGCATAAATATATTCAATAGGCAAAGAGAAATGATCACCGCATTTAGAGCAAACTAAGCACAAATCCTCAACCTGTATCAGCTCCCACCATTCCGATGGCCAAGACAGTAAAGGCCTCAGACTCAGGTAAATACTCTATAACCATCCCAAGCAACCTTATATCACACATCAAGCATCAGATCTCTTTTCTGAAATACTTCTATATGCAATGTATACAGGTATACAATCCATTCTTGGGGCTAAGATATATATACTATCATGTCACTGGTCACCACAGTGCACATATACAAGTTTCAAATAAGAGTAGATCTGACTTGCTTAATTCATACGATCAAGTACGCTACCACAATATAAGAATTGGTTCCTCAGTTTGTCCTTGTGTATACGGATGACTCACTACCAAAAGGAACTACTTCAAAATTGAGCATCCACTCGAACAGGTCAATTACAGAAATACTCCAGAATCCTTTATCTCAATCATTCCCCATCTTAAACTACTTCTAAACATAGACTCATAGTGAAACCTTAAGCGCAAATCTATTGACTAAATGGTCTCTAGGCATCTAATTCACCATCAAAAACCACTATCAGATCAAGCATGTTAGTATAGATCAAGCTTGCGTACACTACATAGCCTCCCTCTCATTCCCGCAAAGAAGTGTTCTTGCAAGACATACTCCTACAAGTCTGCAACTCATTTAATCCAGCAATCTCATTGACATACTACGTATGTGGACCTCATAGTACTTTGAAGATACAGAGAACAGTATTCACTTCACTCAAAGAACTATACCATCCCACAGGTGGCTGCAGACTCTAGTACAAGTGCAAGTGCAATGAGTAATAGCAAAAAGTGATTTATACTTAGAAAAAGAATATTAATCAAATTCAAAACAACATAATGTCCTTGCCTGCTTAATTATAAGATGTGTGTTTTGTGTCTGCTCCAGCCTCTTGTGCCTGCTAAAACCAAAACAGAAGATGTTGAAACAGTAGACTAAAGTAGTCGCAAGCCATGAGCCATAATCTATTTCATTCCAAAACAACCGAGCAAAGAGCAGAGAACAAAAATGATTACGGCAAGCAGTGCTGAAACAGAAAATGTGAGTTGATAGAGCTAGACACAGATCAATCAAAAGCCAGAAGGTACTGCCACAACTAAAGGTTACAATACACTCTCAGCAGTTAAGGAAGCTGTGTGCACTCAAGTACTGTACAAGAACAGTACCAGATGTCAGGGTCCAGGGTGGTCTACCAGTGACCTGAAGCAATCATGTAATATTTTAGCAAAAACCACCCCTAAGGACATGCTTGGTTTGGGGGGAAATGAATAATGAATGAGAGGTGTAGGAGACAAAATAAAGACAATCAGGTGGTGGTGAATGGGATGAGGCAGTGATGGCGCGAGGAGGGAAGGATGGAGAGATTACTACCCCTCATTTTGGGAGTCTTTGAGTGGGGCTTTTGATTAAAAAAAATTACAAAAAAAAAAATTAAATAAATAAATAAATAAAACCTGTATTCAAGTATAATAGTAGCACAAAACCTCTCTCATTTGAATGGTTTCCATTGGTTCACAGTTAAGTTTGACATAAAAGTTATAACATTTACCCTCCCTCCATATAAGTTAAACAGTAGTCTAAACCTCTAAGCTTCCTTTATCTTGTCCAAAATCATAATAAAAGTAATCCTAAGCAAGAAAGGATAAGAAAACAAGTACAAATTACCTAATTCAGTACCGCATATTACCCGAGAAGCTGCCAACATAGATTTACAGACCCAACTTCCTTCACATCCGCAAAAGGAGACTCAGCAGGTTCACACTTCCAAAGGGTAAAAGGACTACATAAAGACCAATTGCAAATGCAATATCGAGAAACACAATTTCACATTAAGTTGCTTCAAACAGAAGGGGGTAAAAAAAAATTTAAGGGTACATCCATAACACCAGATTTGATAAAATTAACCTAAGATAGTCAAGTTACTCAACTACATAACATACTGTTACCAGGGGAGGAGGTGGATGATTGTTAATAAACTGATAGATTAGAAATAGAAACCAGACAAATTTGAAGAGTTGTAATTACTCACATGAAATTCCAATGCAGAATTCCATAGACATTTAAGTACATTCCAGAGAAACTTTATCAAAATTCAAAACAATGTCCTGAAGAGGCAGAATTATCAATGCACAAAAACAGTCTCATTGCGTCTTGGAGGTCTATCAGGAACTGATCCAGGTTTGAATTTTGCAGATTCATGTCTTGCAAGTTCAGGCGGAACAGGACTATTACTCTGAATGAGCATCTGCTTCAAATCATAGAAGACATCAGTATCATGCAAAGTCAAAAAGGTGGTCGCCACACCAGTTTTTCCTGCTCTCCCAGTTCGGCCAATACGATGGGTGTACATCTCAATATTCCCCGGCATATCATAGTTGATTACATGAGCAACATCAGGTATATCAATACCACGTCCAGCAACATCTGTGGCAACCATTACATTGTACCTCTTGGTCCTGAAACCTTCCAGACTGATTTCTCTTTGTTCCTGTGATTTTCCACCATGCAATGTTGTGACTCGATAACCTGATTTGTCCAAATTTTTGGAAAGCACATCAGCAGTCTTCTTGGTGTTAACAAACACTATAGCTGTCTTATCACCCAACTCATCAAGGTGTTTTTGCAGCTTGTAAGTTTTTTCTGATTCCTTTGTCATGATCACATGTTGTGTGATGAGGTCAGTAGTTTTTCCAGCCGTACCAATAGTCACCACCACAGGATTCCTCAAGTACTTCCTGGCAAGCCGCTCTACAGCAGGTGGCATAGTGGCACTAAACATATAGGTTGTCCGGTAAATCTTTTTTGCATCAAGCTCCTCTTCTTCATTCTCAGGCTTCATATTACTTGAAGGCATTGCATCCAACACACCAACAACCTGAGGCTCAAAACCCATATCTATCATTCGATCAGCTTCATCAAGAACAACATAATTGCACTGGTTCAGAACAACATAACGCCTTTCCAGACAATCCAAGAGACGTCCAGGGGTTGCAATAACAATTTCACACCCTTGTCTAATTTTGAATCCCTGCTCCTCAATGGATTGTCCACCAACAATGGAGACAACCTTAATCCCCAGATAGTGGGCAAACTTAACAGTCTCCTCTTCAATCTGTTGAGCTAATTCACGAGTAGGGGCCATAACAACAGCATAAGGACCCTCAGCTTCATTCTCTTCAGTAATTGGTGGCAGCCTAGTTATATAAGCCAACATAGGGAGAACAAAAGCAGCAGTCTTACCCGAACCAGTCTCCGCAACACCAATGACATCTCGCTGTTGAAGTCCTAAAGGAATAGCTGCCATCTGGATAGGGGATGGAGTCTTATAGCCAGCTCGGTCCACAGCTTTCAACAGCTCTGAAGTCAGTTTACTCTCTACCCAATTCCTCATTGGTTTAGGAATCTTAGACCCCTTGTAAGATATATTGAAGTCCTCCCTGAAAATTCTCCAGTCCCTTTCAGTCATTTCTTCAAGCCTCTTGTCAGACCAGTGGCGGTCTACCCTCATATCATGATCCTCATACACTTCAGCAGCTTGCTCCCGGCGACGTTGAGCAGCAGCCTCCTCAGGTGCCTCTTCAGTGCCATCCTTTTTGCGAATTTCCTCACGCAACTCAACTTCATTTTTAACAGCTAGCTTCTTCTGCTCCCTACGATCTATTCCCGCTCGGAACCCTCTACCAAACAGCAGCTGAGCCTCATGAGGGTTTTGATAGAGAGCATTCATGTCGCGAGAGGTGTCCTCAGTGTTCTCCCAATCAAAGGAAAAGCGAAATTTCTCACTAGGCTTGATCACACGCTTCTTAGGTTTCTTGGAACCTAGATACTGCTCTTTGATAAGCTCCAGTTCCTTTTCCCTCTCCCTTTCCGTCAACTTCTCCAGCCTAGCACGATCCCTAGTTTTGCTCTCCTCTTCGCGTTCCTTGTCACGATTCCTTCTTTCAATTTCACGATCTCTCTCCCGATCACGGTCCCTTTCTCTTTCTCTCACACGGTCACGGTAACGGTCATGATCGCGGTCACGATCACGGTCATGGTCGCGGGAAGAGCGGTGGTGAGAAGAATCAGAGGGTCTGTTATCAACAGATCGACTCTGAAGCAACTCCTCAGCACGACGTCTCTGTTCAGCAACTTCTTCTTGGCGTTTTTGTAAAGCTAACTGCTCTCTCTGGTCTTTAGTCAAGAAAACCGGCTTCGCATTACTAGAGCTGGTATTCGCCACAGCAGCTGAGGCAACCACACTGGCAACTTCCTCCAAAGGCCTCTTCATTGTATCAAATATACGTCGTCTACTCTCAATCGATAAACAAACAAACAACACCTTTCACCTGATTATAATCAATCAACGCAATATGATTAAGGTTCAATCCTAACATTAAAAGGTCTGATTTCACAGTTCAATCCTAATATTAAAAGGTTCTGCAACAAAATTTCATTCAATTTTCAAATAAGGCTCATAACTTTAGGGATTTTTCTATTCAATTATCAAATAAGGCTAATAACTCTAGGGATTTTTTATTCAATTATCAAACAAGGCTCATAACTTAAGGAATTTTTGATTCAATTATCAAATAACGCTCATAACTTTAGGGATTTTTTATTAAATTATCAAATAAGGCTCATAACTTTAGGGATTTTTTATTCAATTATCAATTAGGCTCATAATTTTCTTTTCTAAGAACATAATCGCTGGTTATGATCTTTCATAACTTAGTAATTAAAGCCAATAATCGAACCCTAAACTTCATACACTCACAATCAAATTAAATTAGATCAAAGATAAACCCTAATTGTAAAATTTATATGATGCTTACAAAAGAAAACAACAACTTACCACTGTTTCAATGGATGATACAAGTATTAGAAGGCGCCTCGCTTCAATGGAGAACGTCAAGTGCGCTTCAATGGAGAACTGAGAAAATAGGGCTACGTTCTTTCGTGTTTTTTTTTTTTTTTTTTTTTTTTTAATTAGTGCAATTCAGAATTCAATGGGTAAAACAGTTAGTGCAATTCAATGGGTTGGAGTCTTGGAGACCCATTCAAACCCTGACCCTTTCGAGTTATAAATGGGTCCGTTTAATATATAAATAAGACAGTTCTTACAAAGTCATTCAATTATAGATCCTTTAAAAACCCTGACCCTTTCGAGTTAAAAATGAGCGTAATGAAATTATACCGGTTTGGAATTAGAAATAACTCTATTAGTATCGATTTTCCTTTTACCCTTTAATTTCTCAAATACCATTTTCACACACCATTTGACAAGAAATAACCCGACTTAGAAATAATAGGTTTGGGTTGAGTTTTCCAACCCGATTTATTAAATGGGCTGACAAGAATCCGACTTGAAAACAAAATGGGTTATGTCAAGGTTGAAAATTAAAACTCGAAAATGACTTGTGCAACCTACTACTACTTCGTATTAATGACTTGTGCAATCTATTAGTATCCAAATTTCAACCTTAACTTGTGCAATCTATTAGTATTAAATAAGATGAGTTAGATCAAACCCAATTAAATATTTCGGACCAAGGGCAACCTTAAAACAAAAACCACAAATTTGGATAATACACATTAGTACAAATCTAATAAATGTATTTAATTGCCATACATCTGAGGTTAAACTTTAAATTTAAACAATTAAATTTAATTAGACCCGATCATAAAATATAAATTCAAATTTGATCAAAATTAAGATAAAGGTTTGTTCACATTTATTGAATTGAGCTGAACTGAATTGATTGGAGCTAAACTGAATTGAACTGAACTGAAATGAATATTTTATGATGGAGGAAAATTAAGAGTTGAACTGAACTAAAATGAACTAATTGAAGCTGAACTGAACTGAAATTAAGTAAATGTGAACAGACCCTAAATCCCAATGCATACTGCCACACTGTCCAATTTTACACTATAAACAAGTACATTACGCTTTGTGAGATACGAAAGCATTTAATTATTTTAATTATTATGCAACACTAACTTATTTGCAGGATTCATAGCTTCTAATATGTACTTCCTCCGTTCTTTATTACTTGACTCGTTTTGACTTTTACACTATTCATCACCCCTCTTTTGACCGTCTTTTGTGAATAATATGTAAGGAAAAATATATTCATGTATGATCTTTTAGGATTCGTCTCAATAAGTACTATCATAATATATAACTTTTATATTTTTTACTTATGGAGAATTTAAGTTATTGATCGTTAAAGTTTTGCATTGACAAGCGTGATAAAAGAAACAGGTCAAGTAAAAAAGAACAGAGAAAGTAGTAATTATTTTGCTCTTTTCTTGTAGTAGCTTTAGGAAACGTAACCTAAAATGGCCAGGAATCAAGATCAAAAGCAGACAAGTCACCACTTTAGGCCCTGTTCTTTTGAGCTTCTGGACAAGGCAGTGCAGAGCACGACAGATCAGATTAGATTTCAGCAGTGCAGAGCAGAGCAGCTCTAAAGAACAGTGCCTTAGAGTAGAGAGGGGGGTAAGAGAATACCCCTACTCCCAAGCATTTAATAGTTAGTGGCGCTCGAACTCATGACCTCAAAGTCCCAAAGAGTCACAGTTAGCAGGGCTCGAACTCATGACCTCAAAGTCCCAAAGAGTCACCGCTTTAGAGTGGAGAGGGGGTAAGGAATCCCCCCACTCCCAAGCATTTAATAGTTAGCGGGGCTCGAACTCATGACCTCAAAGTCCCACCCCACCAACGGTATAAGCAGATAGAAATTGTAGTTTAGGAATTTCTTACTACACTTAACATAATTTGAACATTATAAAAATTGTCACAAGATTTATCAGTTCAAAGGCTTAACAAGTTAACATAACTTGAACAAAATAAAAGTAGTCACAAGATTTATCAGTTCAAAGGCAGTTGATTGGGTCCAAATCGGGTTACTGGAAGAAATCAACTCACAATAACAATAACACTAACACCAAAACCAATTCCATTGGTACCATTGCCCAACAGAGCAGGAGCCAGATACCACATACCTGTCCCTCTACCATCAGTCATCACTACAAAAAGACACTACTCGTCTAAGTCAAAGAACAGAACCACTACGCATACAAATAAAAATCTACAAAATATAAGCAAGACGTTAAAACCACATGTCATGCAAATATGTAAGTTGGATAAATAGGATGCAGTTTAACATAGCAAGAATCTACATCTATATTAATATCTAAAAAAACTAATCTCCCAAAGTCTACTACTCTTCCCTCAACAACCAAAATCAAATTCTACACAGGAACCCTTATCCTAAAATGCAACTATGAAACTATTGTAATACCAGAGAGTAGCCACGAATTACCTAACACAAATGTTGTGTGTGGCTAACTATGAACAGCAGTGATCAGAGCACAAAAGAAATCTAACAGTTGAACTGTCGACATGAGAATGACATATGACAAGTTTGGACTTAGCCTTTTGCGCCTCTTTTTCTCTTCTTTGCACTCTTCGATTTTGATGTATTCTGAGACTTCCCCTTCAAAGTTTCAGGCACTTTTGGTGTTTCCGGTGAAGACTCCATATCCTCCTCCTCATACTCTGCTTGAGGAGCTGCTTTTACTTTACTGCTGCTGTTATTGGATTTGCTACCACTCTTTGGCGATTTACCCTTGGACTTTGTGGCACCCTTAGGAGTTTCTTGCTGTGGCTTAGTACTTCCTTTAGATGCATCCACATCATTAGCTTTGGACTTCCCAACTGCTTTAGGGGTCTTGTCCTTGCTGCCAGATTTTGAATCTTTGTTTTTACCACCTTTATCCTCCTCAGATTTAGCAATACTCTTCAAAGTTTCATCGTTCGCTTTGCCATCTGCCTTACTATCATCCTTGAGCTTAGTCCGGGGCTTGGTTGTAGTTTTGGATTTGCTGGTTGAAGCTCCAGACCTGGAAGATACAAACAAAATATCTTACGCTGAGTTTAAATAAAACAAAGTACAAAAAAAGGGGAATACATCAACAATAAGTAAAATGCACACTGTACTTTTTAGCTGAAGATTCAGTCTTTCCTCGTTTAGCAGCTGGGGCAGGACTTGTCTTAGATTTTTTAGCTTTTGGCCTACAAACCAGCAAATTATGAGTGATGAGAGAACCATAAAGTTGACAGAATAAATTCATAGAACTCTCCTATAAAAAAAGCCAGTTTAACACCACATTTATCCAGTGATAATTTAAAAAACGATGATAAACTTTGGATTAAAGCAATAAGTTATCACAAGATTAAATCAAAATACAATTTTTTAAAAACTAGTGAGTATGATGAATGAGTCAACTTAATGTGCATAAAGGCAAGGCTCTCTTGCACTAACAAAGCCCAATGTTCAGCAAGAAGACATACGTTTCAGCAGCTTCATCAGGGCTTTCACCATCGCTTGAATCCCCCTGTGATCAAAATGAACCAGTACAAATTAGCAACTGTAAAAACATCTATTTATTAAAACCTATAAACCAAGAAAATTCAAAGACCAAACCTGATCAGGCTTGGAGTCATCATTAATCAACTTCCACTTTTCCTTCTCAAGCTTTAAAACTTCAACATCACCATCACTATATAATACCTACATAAATATGAAGCAAACTACTTAGTAAAAAAAGCGAAAGCCTAAAATACAGAATCAACACTGGGGATTAGACTTCCCATCACCTTATGCTTTCCGGAAGCGGGCTCAAAGTGCTCGATAACCCCTTTATAATACCTGCAAAAAACACTCCCCCAAACGAAAGGAAATTACAGTATGTACTAATAGATATATTTAGGAATCATTTCATGGTAAGGCAGCGACTCAGTCATGCATGAGCCAATGCCAGCTATAAAGATACTGCATTGCCAAAGCTTGACTGGGAAAAAACAAAACATAAGTACTGCTACAACTATGCAACCATAGATGCATTGTGTCAAGATAAAAGTGCAAAGCACATGTTTGAACATAAAGACAGTAACATCAGAGATGAGATAAGGTAAGAATTCAGATACTCAGAGTACAAAAGTGATAATACAAATAGCTTACAGCAATACAATGATAACTAACATTCAAATTCTCTCACATCTAGAACAGATGATGCAAATTTGATATGCAAAGTTCCACAAAATTGACAAATTTGACAAAATGCGAAGTTACTCAGTAGAAAATAAGCAAACATCTTACTTCTTGTCATCCGGCCACCAAACCTGGACCTTCAAACCAACCAATTCCTTACCATATTTTGCAGCCTGAAATTTACATCAAAATGATCTGATGAGAATTCAAATCCAAAATAAAAACCTCTACATGAGTAATAAACCCTCATCACCAAACAATTTTCTGAGAAAAGTTTGCCTTAAAAGAAATCCAAGATTGTAGAGAGATGATAACAATTCATATGAACTAATCAACATTTCAACAGATATACAAATCGTTGACAACAGTCCAACATTATTGAGTATGCTTATCAAACAACGTTAGCTTATACAGTACCCCAACTACAAAAGCAGAACTCCAAATAATATATGGAATAAACCGTCCCATCCTACCAACTTGAAAGCAGCAATCTAAAACGCACATCATGGTCAAAACTGCCTCGTCCAAAATTTTTGACATGCTTTATCGAATTCAAAAAAAGGGGGGACATACGAGAAATAGATTTGGATCAAAAATATAAATCCTGACAATAACACAAAAAGGTGTTAAGACAGTCATATTGTTTCAAATGTATAGTGTTCTCAAACACTGGTACACTTTCTAAGATAATGATAATGCATTATAAATACCAATAATGCAATTTCACAGCACCTGTAGGTCAAATTAAAACATTGGTCGGAATTCAATTCCTTATACCAATATAAAGTAGCTTTTTAGACGATTTCAGCACCAAAAACTATGGAATTCAGCTCAGCAATCCATGATAAAAGATATTAAGCATTATCGGCAGACTCAATGCAAGCATTATCTAATGATCAAGGCCTGAATAACTGAATAGACACACAAACCTTCTTTTCAAAGGGTACTTTCTTTTCACTGGATACTTTCTTTTCAGCAGATACTTTCTTTTTGCTGGTACGCTTCCTCTTGGAATTTGACTCAGATGCTTTCTCTACATCACTCTCATCTTTAGTGGTTTTTGCAGTAGACTTGGCTGAACCAACAGGCTTCTGAATAAATCATTAAATATTTTTGAGTCAAATAAAGCTTGTGCAATGGCATAACTTAACTAATTAATAAGAATTCATCACAGGATAAACACAATGGATCCCAACAAGTACCTTCTCATCCTTGGACGGAGTTTTTGTAAGCTCCTTCACAGGAGTTGCTTTTCCTTGACCTCTCTTTTTCTTATTATCACGCAGATTACCAACAACTTCGTCCTTCTTGACCAGCTGTTTTGCTGGTTTGGCTTCCACATTACTTGTTTTCCCATCTTCCTTTGGATCATCAGAACTCAGTTCACTGTCTTCCTTATCAGTTACTGAAGGCACCTTTTTCCCTATCTGCTTCGGCAATTTGGACTCTGAAGCACTAACTCCTTCAGATGATTTCTTAACATCACTTTCCTCCTCCTTCATTTCAACATCACCAGCTGGCTCACTTTGCACCATTTCATCTTTCTTCTTCCCTGGTTCATCCTTTTTCGGATTTTCATCAGCAACGCTTCCAGTTGGAGAGGAAGAAGGGGCATCAACAAGCTCGTCTGATGCTTTTGGTGAGGGGACTGGGTGGTCTGGCTCCTTTTCATTTTCAGCTAGCTTCGCAGAATCAGCTCCAATAGCCGAGCTCTGCGCATTGTCTTCACCCTTTTCATCTTCTTGTTGAGGCACAGGCGTCTCTACTCCCTCCTTTTCATCCATAACAGCTGGCTCTGAAGAGCTCTTCAAAGAGTTCCCCTTCTTCCCTTTACGCTTGTTAACTTTTACTGGCTTAGTTCGTGACTTTGTGGGTTCTTCAGCATTTGAATAGTCTACCTTAACCTTGCTTTGTTCTGCATCTACATCACGAGCCATGTTATTCACCTCCTTGGAATCATCATTTCCAGCAGAAGTATCTTCAACCTCTTTCTGTATTGTACCATTGCTCACCACAGCCTTTGGAGACCCAACAGTACCAGGACCAATTTCTTCTGAAGGAGGCGCATCATCCAGAGTTTCCAAAGCAACCTGAGAATAGAATAAACAGCCAACTTTAAGACATAACTCCAGAGAAATGAAGATTCAAGATCTTTCAGATGGCACAAGGAGTAGAGGAGTACACATACTTCAACTGCCTTTTCTGAAGGTGTATTGGTCAGGTCATCCTCATCAGCCTGATTACAGAAAATTATATACACCAATATAAAAATACAGGGGATTATAGATATTCAAAGCATCAATTAGATTCTACCAAGAATTCCAAGCTGCTTGATGCCTAAATGCTGCAGATACCAGTAAAATTGTTTTTAAAACATAGACAAAGGAAAGACTGACATCAAAGTCAAGACACTTAGGTACTCAACTATCATGATTAATAAAAGACAAATTAGTGAAAATCTTGCCTTTCAACGTCTGTTAACATGACAATACTAAATGAACTTGATGGTCTCAGCCCCTTTCAACCTAAATTTTTTATAGAGAAAGGAATTAAACAAAATTTTGATTAAAAAAAAAAATTAACATTTTTTCCCATGTGATATCATCCAAATTCTAGCTCAGTTCTTCAATACATATGAGTGCACACTAGAAGCATAAGAGTTCATCGCCAGGTAACAATTTTAGCTTTGCAGAAATACAGGAAAAGATATCATTCACCATTCAAGAAAGAATATAATACCACATTTTTCTTTGCAGCATCTGCCTCACTAGGCTCAACAGCCTCAGTTCTTGCTTGGAAAACCTTTGCCACAACCTTACTATAATCATCTAGGGTGGTACCACGAGACTTCATAGCTGGTAATAGATAAGGTTTAAGCTTGCTAGCACACTTATCAGCCACTTTCTCCCCAAGCTGGCAAGCAACAGGCAGAACTTCCTGAACAGTAAAATAAATAAAATAAAATGGAATAAAAAAAACCCCAACAGGATCACAAAACTCATTCGGGGTGATCAGAATCATAACTTGCGCAAAGTTCAAAGGCAACCGACCTTGTTCTCTGTTTTCAAAACGTCTAGGATAGATGAACAAAGATCTATGGATATATCCTCACTTTCTTCCAATACAAGGGTCATGATTGTCTCCATTGACGAAAACACATTTTCAGGATGCTCACTCCTGCAAGTGCCCAAAGATAAACCTCTATTATGTAAGATCAATCAAATTTTATCAAAACAGAATGTCCCAAAAGAGAGATGAGCAGATGGTCCAATATATCTATATACGAGCCAAATTTTCTCAAGATTGTTCAGCTAAAAATATGAAGCAGAGTCCATTAACAAAATTCTGGAAAGATGCACTGTAGAAACTGATATTCCTAAAATATACAACAACCTTTGGTGGGAGCATAAAGAAAAATGAAAGAGCAATAGCCAAAGAAAGGCACGCAATCCACAAAGAATTTAAAAGAAAAGGCAACAGCCAACAGGTAATATCTAGATGAGAGAGAGTGGAACAGAAATAATGAGTTCAAAGATATTTCACAACATATGGACCACAATAATGAACACTCCATTCCATTCATCAGAACTATCTCACAATTATGGCAAAAAAACAATAAAACTTAACAGTTCATAACCAAGACTTTCCTCCTTAGCAAACACGCAATACTACGGTGAGGACTGAAGAGAACATACGAAAAAACCTCTTCTGTATTGTGTTTTACTGATTCACTTCATGGAGGCTAGTAAGGATAGAAAAGTAATCCAACTTCATTTTAGACAGATATTGCAAAGATCCAAGCATTGCAAGGCTAAAAGATAATCAGGAAAGAGAGATACACGAATGTCAAAACCAAAGGTCCTGTAAACAAACCAGGCAAACAAGGCAATAGAATCTAATGAAAAGCGACAGCCTAACTAAGAATCCATCACAAAGTAGGTTTCTTAGCATCAATTCATCTAAAATTAATATTAATTAGCTTTCTGTTACCTAATAGTTCTAAAGAAATGATGGAACATTTCTGCAATTAAGGCATCACATTCCAGATCCAGCATTACTACACATGATCTGACTTTTGCAACTGTTTCCAGGATGGATGTCCTCTTGCCATACGATGGGCTAGATTGGTCATCCAACTTCTCAAACGATGATACAATTAATTGAAACACCTCCTGTAAAGAATAGTGTACATCAGCATAGGGACTGAATATATATATATATATATATATATATAGGAATCCTCATAATAGAGTAATTGATCACACTAACCTTCATTTGGTCATCCTCATAAGGTGCATCAGGAGCTGTGATCCTTGTTATCTCACTAATACATGAAGCAACAGCAACATTCACGTCAATGTCTTTATGTCTCAATAGCTCATTGGCAATCAATGCTTTCATCGACGGAGAAAGTGCTTTCTTCATTGACTCAGATGGTGACTGCTCCACTCTGGTGAGTAAATTTTCAACCCGCTACAAGCAAGAGAAATGAGGATAAATATAACCTGATAACCCTATATTGTGAAATTACCCAGAGAGGTATTGCTATCATAGCTTAAGTTTCAATTTATACTCAAAAAATCTAGCAAATAACAAAATAAAGTGCATCCCACATACTATAAAGCTACAAAAGATTCCCCCCCCCCCCAACCATACACACAAATTTATACCAGTACACCAAGCACCAAGACAGGAAAAAATATCAATGAAGGACTATTCACGTAACTATAATTAAGTTACCTTGGACTCAAGTAGTAGAGTCGAATACAAGTATGGATCTTTGTATCAGATATAGCAATTCTAAAAATTGGGGACATGCGGACTCTATTGGAATTGGACACAAGTAAAGGATACAAATTGTGTATATACATAATACTTTATTACATTCTCACATTTCTTAATAACTTTAAAATTGTTAGAACTTCAACATATAGTCTTAACTCTTAAGTATACATATTTATATTACAGGCTTACAGCAAAATCTCTTTAAAAGAATGCAAAAGAAAGTTTTTCTTAACATATACATAATTAACTACATATATATTTATATACATTAGTAAATTTCCTACTTAATTCTTGCATAACTTTACAGAAGCGGTCACAAGCACAGTAAAATATCATGTTTTATAAACTATTTAATTAATTGCAAAATCTTTTAGGTTAATTCGGATAAAACAACAGATGTAGTGAAAATACGTTGGATCAAATTTTTAAAAATACAGAAGGGAAGACATAATTTCAGTCACATGTTACTTAACAGGGCTTAAAACCCAAAATCTGTTGTAGAACAGCTATTCCGCGATGGAATGGCAGAGTTATATTTCCATGGCTTCATCACCCTTTGCTTTGATATCCTAAGCACAGTAAAATATCATGTTTTATAATGTATTTAATTAACTACAAAATCTTTTAGGTTAATTGAGATAAAACAACGGATGTAGTGAAAAAAACGTTCTCACATAGCGGGATCAATTATTTAACAACACAACAGGATCAATTATTTAACAGCACATAAGGAAAGATGTTATTCCAGTCACAGTGTTACGTAACAGGGTTCAAAACCCAAAATCCCAAAATCTGTTACAGAACGGTTCCATGACTTCATTACCCTTTGCTTTGATATCCTGCAAACCACCCCCCCCCCCCAAAAAAAAAAAATAAAAAAAAAATTTACTAACAAGCATCTTTTTTTATGAAAAATACCAAGTATAGTTTTTACTGCCCGTAAAACAAAATGTAGCAATGTTTCAATATAACACGCCAAATTCATTGTCTTTAAAATGGAGATAGATATATTCAATTATGAGGGAAACAAAAGATTGCCTTTCCTTATTAGAGGATTGGCGTGTTTGTCAACAGCCTGTACAAAAATCGTATTAAAATCAAGCCCAACCCCAGAAATTCGACCTGGGCTTATTTCCTTGATATCCTTCCTAAAACGGACCCACAATCAACTCTAGCCACCATGATATCAGAGAGCCATAATTAATTAAATCTAGCAAATAATCAAAAGAGGGGGGAAATTGGAAAAGGCATCAATGTCACAAAATAATTGAAAATTTATTTAATTTGATTCTCAAAATAAAAAGGTTAAACTTATATACATGCAACTGTTTAAGAAAATAAATTCAACAGATACATCCAATCAACACTTGAATTAAATATGAAAATCAAGCAAAATTCAAAATTCAGGGAAAAAAAACCCTAAAATCTGGAAATACTGAAATAAAAAATAAAATAAAATTTGAGACTTACGTCAAGCGAAGAGAGCAACTCAGCGACGGAAGGAGGAGGAGAGAGAAGCTGGTTACCAGCTTCAGTGAGCTGCTTCTCGAGCAGCTCGTCATCTGACAACGCCATTGTTAAACACCTCTAGATCTCTCAATTCCTCGACTTCTGCAACAGCATCGAAACCCTAAAACCTCCAGAAAAATGGATCACCACCATATATAACAATTTAACACCAAAAAAAAAAGAATTGAATCTTAAAAAAAAATTAAAAAAAATCAAAATTTCATCGTCAAAGAGAGAAGCGTTAGAGCGCGAAAAGGGACGAAAGTTAAATTTTTACAATTTTTGATGAAATTATTTTAGGAGAGAGAAAAACTAGGGTTTAGTTTTCGATTTTAATTTTAGGGAAAATGGGAGAGAGAGAAAAAAAAAAGAGGAGAGAGAAAACAAACCTGAATTTGTGCGTAATAGAAATTTATGAGAACCTCGATTTCTTCTTTAATTTTTTTGGCGAGTTTTTCGTAAGATGGATTTATTTATGACGATGGGTTTTAGAGAGAGAAATGTAAATATTTCGTCACTAATATTTCATTTTCATAGTGAAAATAGTATTTATAATAATCCGGATATTACTGAGGGTGTGATGTTATGGATTATAGTTTGAGGAGTTTTGGAGTCCGCTTGTTTGGGATTGGGGGATGTTTTGGGCTATAGAGTATTTTTCTTCTTGTTTTTGACCCAATTTAAGCTCAAATGAAATAATGCATGCCTTTTTATGCTTTGAACAAAGTTGTGTTTTTACTAATGGTAATGAGTGTGCTTAATTTGTCTCTTTCGGAATTTATGGTGTTCTTCTCAACAAGTGTATTTAGAGTTTTGGTAACAGTTTGGCTGGTGTCTGAAATTTACTGGTAAAATTGGATTGGTCAGTTAATAAGGTAATTTGTCACTTTTGGAATTTACGATGTTCCACCAATGAGTGTTTTCAGAGTTTCAGTAATAGTTTGGCCATTGTCTGTGATTTTACTGGTAAAATTGGATTCGTTTGCTGATAAGAAACATGATAGATTTAGATACGTTAATCATGGTTGTTAATGTAACTTGAATTTGCTTCAAATCTTGCTTGTTGTACCGATCTTTTCTGGATTTTGTATACTTATGTATTTGAAGCCGTTATGGAGAAAGGTATGGTGTCATGGAACAACTAAGTTGCTAGATAGGTCGTTATAATAGAAATCAACACTCATTAGTGAGCAAAATACTTCTTTGTAGTTGTTATTAATTGTTATTTATATCGTTAGTTAAGAGTGACACGTGAGCCAAGAAAAAAACAATGAATTAGTTAAACCTTATTATTAGTCATGTTGATACAAGTGTCGCAAATACTTCCACATTTTTTTACTTTTAAAAAGTTTAAGATAACTCTTATAAAAAGTGTTTGGACAATTATACCAACTAAATGTTTTTTTTTTTTTTTACTTATTTGCTTCTTTTTTGAACTTTTAAGAATAATGTTAAAACATTTATACCCCTAACAAATTTTATTTTTATAATTTGTCTCGTTAATGCTACCAACAACTAAAGTTGTGACATAAGGCTAAACAGAAAACTCTCGGAACATGACTAGCCATTGTGCGCGCATAATGCGCATTAGCTGCCCTATTAAACATCAAAATACTAAATAGGAAAAGTTGTCAAAAATCACATTTTAACTTATTGTCATAAAATATCTTCTGTCGGTTTTCAATATTGACTTCCTATTTAAGACATTGACCGCCCATGTGCATGGCGTGTGTCTACTAAAAACACTCATTTTGTAGTAGATAAATAGTTTCATGGACATGCAGCTATAATAAAATCAATAGCAATCGGCATGATATAGGCAAAAATCAATTTTCTTCAAAAACCTCCAACCATTGAAAAAGTATAGTAGTTTTATTTGGGAGATGCTAGGAGTATATGTGGTATAGTCAGCAAAAAGTGAATCAATTGCTTAAATAATTTGAAAATATTTGATTTTTTTAAAAATGTGTCGTGAATTTAATATGAATGCATTAACTAAACAAGCACCAACATGATCTTTCTTAAGTTGCCTTAATTAGCTTATGTACCATCGAAAAAACTTATTCAATTTAATAAATAGCTAAAAACCAAACAAGAGGATTAAATGGGAAAAAAATCAACATGAGTAAAAAATAAAAGTTCAGTAATAACCCAGATCAACAATTTATAAATGTTTAATACAATTATATAAATTAGACAAAGAGGCTACCCACACACTTGTCTATCATACGATGTACTCCGTATTTTGTATATATAAGCTAATCCACATTGACTTGGTGTTCCACACATAAAATTCTTTTACTTTCTAAATAATTTTATTTTAATGTTTTAATATAATATTAATGTTTTCACAAATTTCGAGTCTAAATATATTTAAAAACGGGAAATAAAATAACAAATGAATTTAAATTAATATATGATTTTGGGTACAATCTCTGTATAGCAGTTTATAATAAAATAAACTAAGTCCTATGATTTTGTTCCGCAGCTTGACGATGACACGTGTGCGACACCTGTAGGGTGACGTTTGATGACGTCGACTTGAGTTTGATTGCAGGGTGACGTTGGTGATGTTAACTTGTATTCAAGGGTTTTGTTTGAATACACCGAACGAGGGCTTATAAGCTTAATCCCGTTCAAATGTGTTTGAGTGTAGACAAGTCGGCATGAGTTTGATGTGCTTGTTGACTTATTTTAGAGAGAGTTCTGTTTGAGTTTTATGAGCTCTTGGGAATAATGATTTTCGAATCCCTTGAACTGATGGATGAATATGTATTTATAGGAGATGAGAACCCCTTGAGTGGACTTAGTAGGCTTGGGCTTGACGCCCTGACCCGTTTTATGACTCAGAAGTCTTTTAACTTGGTCCATTTGATTTTTTTTGTATAACCCGAATTGTATTTGATTCATTCGGATTATTTATCTGGGTGGGCCAAAAATAATTAAAATGGATCATTAATATGATTTAACCCAAATAAATTAATATAATTTAATGTACGACTCATAAAGAACACCTTTAATATACTTCGCTCGGTTTTTGTCAAAAAAAAAAAATTAATGTACGACACTCATTAAATTTACGTGTCTACAATTAAATTAATGTGTCTTCTATTGTTTTTAAATTTAAAATTAAAAGGTTACAACACATGCATTAATAACATACAGATATAGTAATCAAGCTAAAGTCTATAAATAGTAAGTAAAATCAATGTTATAAGCATAATACCAAGTAATATCTCAATAATGTGATTACAATAAACATAATACCAAGTAATATCTCAATAATGTGATCACGATCTTATCTTTCCATTCACATTAATGGTAATACCAATTATGTAATATTTGTTTATTATTGGATTTGAACATACTTTAACAATAAGTCTTATACAAATAAGACAGACTTTTATTAATTCTATTAAAAGACGATCAATATAAGGGCTGCTTTAATTAACATTTTATAATTCAACTTTAACCTATTTAAGGCTATTGTTTAATTTGTAATGAGTTTGACTATTTTTTAATATGTATATTCTAATAGATACATGTTATAAAGGCTAAAATGATTAATTTAATACACTATGAGTGTTTTTTAAGATAAAAATTTATGTTAAAAAAATGATGACTTTTTACAGTATATAAGAATAACTTTAAACATTGTAGGGTGACTTTGACCTATCTTACAACAAGTTATTGACTGAAAGTCGAGCTTATTCAAAAATTTGTCATAATTTAAACCTTATAAAATGATTATTACATCTTAATTAATGATATTTTCTTCATATAGTAATCATGCATTCATAATTTCAAATCTCGATAAAGTAAAATCTTTTCTTTTTTTACAAATTTAAAATCTTTTTTGTGTGAATATGATATTATATTATAATTTGTGATTATGTCTTAGCAATTTTGATTTATTTACCTTTTTATTTTTTAATTTGACAAGGTTGAAAGATTTATTAACTTGTTTTGAAAATAACGTAGCTAATAATATATCTTAGCAATATTTTTTCTCACATGTTAATCATAAAGACATAGGCCCAATTCACTTCACCTTATTTTTGCCAAACTGAAATTATTTTAACGTAATTGTAATTACTTTTGCTGAACTTTAATTATTTTTACTGACTAAAATTATTTTTGCTGCATGAACTGAAACTATTTTTACAGTTTTTTTTTTACTATATATCTTCTTTAAAGTTACTGAATTGAACTTATTTTACTGAATTGAAATTATATTTACTGAAATGAAAGTACTTTTACTTATTATTATGTTTTAAGGTGAAGTGAACAGGACCATAGTGTATATATATAAACAAATTTTTTTTTTTTTTTTTTTTGAAACAATATAAACAGAAGCTTAGGGATTCATAAAGTGAGTTTTTATTTAACCAAATATCTATAAAGTGAGTTGGCAAGAATAAAAATTTCTAGTAAAATTTGATAATCATGATATATATTTTATATTTTTTTTCTATCATTCCTTTATTTACTACCATTTTTTTGTAATCAAATTTTATACAATATATCCCACCTAAACTCATTAACCACAAATCCTCAAATCCTAACCCCTTATATATTTCGCACACCAAAATAAATTTAAATAAAAATAAATAAAACCAAAAATATAATGTTTTCAAAGTGAGTGAGTAAGACAAAGCCAAACTTTGTAATATAAAACTAAATAAATTTACGAAACTAGAATAAAAATAAGGGTAATGATATATATAGCATTAAATATACTTCCTAAAATGGAATTAAGTTGGGAATTCATGACAGAATCACTCGCAAATCGATGTGATTATATATATATATATATATATATATATATATATATATATATATATATATATATATATATACATACATATACATATACATATACATATACATACTACCTCCGGTTCATTTTAGTCGCAACAAAGGACAAATGTACTTTACGCAAACCAAGGCAAAAAACCGTTATATAAACAAAAGATTTAAATAGACTTCATATGATACTTGGCATTCCAACTTTTTACCAAGTGTCGCGCCACCTTGGATAGATTTAAATAGACTTCATATGATAAAAAAAACCGTCAAAGTGTCGTGCCACCTTGGATAGATTTCACACGATTAAAAAAATTAGGTAAGAATTCTATTTTCAATCAAATTAGGATAGAATTTTAGAATAAGATTATTAGTTTAGAGTTATATTTTCGATAAAATACCAAATAATAAATTTATAATTAGGCCACAAGACAATATCATTTAGCGTTTTAATTTTTCGCCAAGTATCGTACCACGTTGGATAAATATAGATTGACTTTGTAGCAAAAAGAGTTAATTTAGAATTCTATTTTCAATCAAACTGAATT